GGTTCTGGTCTTTGTTCTGGTCTTGGTTCTGGTTCCTGGTTCTTGTTCCTGGTTCTTGGTTCTGGTTCCTGGTTCTTGGTTCTGGTCTTGGTTCTGGTTCCTGGTTCTTGGTTCTGGTTCCTGGTTCTTGTTCCTGGTTCTTGGATCTGGTCTTGGTTCTGGTTTTAGGTTCTGGTCTTGGTTCTGGTTCTAGGTTCTGGTCTTTGTTCTGGTCTTGGTTCTGGTTCTAGGTTATTGTCTTGGTTCTGGTTCCTGGTTCTTGTTCCTGGTTCTTGGTTCTGGTTCCTGGTTCTGGTCTTGGTTCTGGTTCCTGGTTCTTGGTTCTGGTTCTTGGTTCTGGTCTTGGTTCTGGTTCCTGGTTCTTGTTCCTGGTTCTTGGTTCTGGTTCCTGGTTCTAGGTTCTGGTCTTGGTTCTGGTTCCTGGTTCTTGGTTCTGGTTCTAGGTTCTGGTCTTGGTTCTGGTTCTTGGTTCTGGTCTTGGTTCTTGTCTTGGTTCTGGTTCTAGGTTCTAGGTTCTGGTCTTGGTACTGGTTCCTGGTTCTTGGTTCTGGTTCCTGGTTCTTGTTCCTGGTTCTTGGTTCTGGTTCCTGGTTCTTGGTTCTGGTCTTGGTTCTGGTTCCTGGTTCTGGTTCCTGGTTCTTGGTTCTGGTCTGGTTCTGGTTCTGGTTCTTGGTTCTGGTCTTGGTTCTGGTTCTAGGTTCTGGTCTTGGTTCTGGTTCTAGGTTCTGGTCTTTGTTCTGGTCTTGGTTCTGGTTCCTGGTTCTTGTTCCTGGTTCTTGGTTCTGGTTCCTGGTTCTTGGTTCTGGTCTTGGTTCTGGTTCTAGGTTCTTGGTTCTGGTCTTGGTTCTGGTTCCTGGTTCTTGGTTCTGGTCTTGGTTCTGGTTCCTGGTTCTGGTCTTGGTTCTGGTTCTAGGTTCTGGTCTTGGTTCTGGTTCCTGGTTCTTGGTTCTGGTCTTGGTTCTGGTTCCTGGTTCTTGTTCCTGGTTCTAGGTTCTGGTTCCTGGTTCTTGTTCTTGGTTCTGGTTCTAGGTTCTGGTCTTGGTTCTGGTTCTAGGTTCTGGTTCTAGGTTCTGGTCTTGGTTCTGGTTCTTGGTTCTGGTCTTGGTTCTTGTCTTGGTTCTGGTTCTAGGTTCTAGGTTCTGGTCTTGGTTCTGGTTCCTGGTTCTTGTTCCTGGTTCTTGGTTCTGGTTCCTGGTTCTGGTCTTGGTTCTGGTTCCTGGTTCTTGGTTCTGGTTCTGGTTCTGGTCTTGGTTCTGGTTCCTGGTTCTTGTTCCTGGTTCTTGGTTCTGGTTCCTGGTTCTAGGTTGGTCTTGGTTCTGGTTCCTGGTTCTTGGTCTGGTTCTAGGTTCTGGTCTTGGTTCTGGTTCTTGGTTCTGGTCTTGGTTCTTGTCTTGGTTCTGGTTCTAGGTTCTAGGTTCTGGTCTTGGTACTGGTTCTGGTTCTTGGTTCTGGTTCTGGTTCTTGTTCCTGGTTCCTGGTTCTTGGTTCTGGTCTTGGTTCTGGTTCTGGTTCTGGTTCCTGGTTCTTGGTTCTGGTCCTGGTTCTGGTTCCTGGTTCTTGGTTCTGGTCTTGGTTCTGGTTCTAGGTTCTGGTCTTGGTTCTGGTTCTAGGTTCTGGTCTTTGTTCTGGTCTTGGTTCTGGTTCCTGGTTCTTGTTCCTGGTTCTTGGTTCTGGTTCCTGGTTCTTGGTTCTGGTCTTGGTTCTGGTTCCTGGTTCTTGGTTCTGGTTCCTGGTTCTTGTTCCTGGTTCTTGGATCTGGTCTTGGTTCTGGTTTTAGGTTCTGGTCTTGGTTCTGGTTCTAGGTTCTGGTCTTTGTTCTGGTCTTGGTTCTGGTTCTAGGTTATTGTCTTGGTTCTGGTTCCTGGTTCTTGTTCCTTGTTCTTGGTTCTTGTCTTGGTTCTGGTTCCTGGTTCTTGGTTCTGGTTCCTGGTTCTTGGTTCTTGTTCCTGGTTCTTGTTCCTGGTTCTTGGTTCTGGTTCCTGGTTCTTGGCTCTGGTTCCTGGTTCTGGTCTTGGTTCTGGTTCCTGGTTCTTGGTTCTGGTCTTGGTTTGGTTCTAGGTTCTGGTCTTGGTTCTGGTTCTAGGTTCTGGTCTTTGTTCTGGTCTTGGTTCTGGTTCCTGGTTCTTGTTCCTGGTTCTTGGTTCTGGTTCCTGGTTCTTGGTTCTGGTCTTGGTTCTGGTTCTAGGTTCTTGGTTCTGGTCTGGTCTGGTTCCTGGTTCTTGGTTCTGGTCTTGGTTCTGGTTCCTGGTTCTGGTCTTGGTTCTGGTTCTAGGTTCTGGTCTTGGTTCTGGTTCCTGGTTCTTGGTTCTGGTCTTGGTTCTGGTTCTGGTTCTTGTTCCTGGTTCCTGGTTCTGTTCTGGTTCCTGGTTCTTGTTCTGGTTCTGGTTCTAGGTTCTGGTCTTGGTTCTGGTTCTAGGTTCTGGTTCTAGGTTCTGGTCTTGGTTCTTCTTGGTTCTGGTCTTGGTCTTGTTCTGGTTCTGGTTCTAGGTTCTGGTCTTGGTTCTGGTTCCTGGTTCTTGTTCCTGGTTCTTGGTTCTGGTTCCTGGTTCTGGTCTTGGTTCTGGTTCCTGGTTCTTGGTTCTGGTTCTTGGTTCTGGTCTTGGTTCTGGTTCCTGGTTCTTGTTCCTGGTTCTTGGTTCTGGTTCCTGGTTCTAGGTTCTGGTCTTGGTTCTGGTTCTGGTTCTTGGTTCTGGTTCTAGGTTCTGGTCTTGGTTCTGGTTCTTGGTTCTGGTCTTGGTTCTTGTCTTGGTTCTGGTTCTAGGTTCTGGTCTTGGTACTGGTTCCTGGTTCTTGGTTCTGGTTCCTGGTTCTTGTTCCTGGTTCCTGGTTCTTGGTTCTGGTCTTGGTTCTGGTTCCTGGTTCTGGTTCCTGGTTCTTGGTTCTGGTCCTGGTTCTGGTTCCTGGTTCTTGGTTCTGGTCTTGGTTCTGGTTCTAGGTTCTGGTCTTGGTTCTGGTTCTAGGTTCTGGTCTTTGTTCTGGTCTTGGTTCTGGTTCTGGTTCTTGTTCTGGTTCTTGGTTCTGGTTCCTGGTTCTTGGTTCTGGTCTTGGTTCTGGTTCCTGGTTCTTGGTTCTGGTTCCTGGTTCTTGTTCCTGGTTCTTGGATCTGGTCTTGGTTCTGGTTTAGGTTCTGGTCTTGGTTCTGGTTCTAGGTTATTGTCTTGGTTCTGGTTCCTGGTTCTTGTTCCTGGTTCTTGGTTCTTGTCTGGTTCTGGTTCCTGGTTCTGGTTCTGGTTCTGGTTCTTGGTTCTTGTTCCTGGTTCTTGTTCCTGGTTCTTGGTTCTGGTTCCTGGTTCTTGGCTCTGGTTCCTGGTTCTGGTCTTGGTTCTGGTTCCTGGTTCTTGGTTCTGTCTTGGTTCTGGTTCTAGGTTGTCTTGGTTCTGGTTCTAGGTTCTGGTCTTTGTTCTGGTCTTGGTTCTGGTTCTGGTTCTTGTTCTGGTTCTTGGTTCTGGTTCCTGGTTCTGGTTCTGGTTCTTGGTTCTGGTTCTTGGGTCTGGTTCTTCTGGTTCTTGGTTCTGGTCTTGGTTCTGGTTCCTGGTTTGGTTCTGGTCTTGGTTCTGGTTCCTGGTTCTGGTCTTGGTTCTGGTTCTAGGTTCTGGTCTTGGTTCTGGTTCCTGGTTCTGGTTCTGGTCTTGGTTCTGGTTCCTGGTTCTTGTTCCTGGTTCTGGTTCTAGGTTCTGGTTCCTGGTTCTTGTTCTTGGTTCTGGTTCTAGGTTCTGGTCTTGGTTCTGGTTCTAGGTTCTGGTTCTAGGTTCTGGTCTTGGTTCTGGTTCTTGGTTCTGGTCTTGGTTCTTGTCTTGGTTCTGGTTCTAGGTTCTGGTCTTGGTTCTGGTTCCTGGTTCTTGTTCCTGGTTGGTTTGGTTCTGGTTCTGGTCTGGTTCTGGTTCTTCTGGTTCCTGGTTCTTGGTTCTGGTTTTGGTTCTGGTCTTGGTTCTGGTTCCTGGTCTTGTTCCTGGTTCTTGGTTCTGGTTCCTGGTTCTAGGTTCTGGTCTTGGTTCTGGTTCCTGGTTCTTGGTTCTGGTTCTAGGTTCTGGTCTTGGTTCTGGTTCTTGGTTCTGGTCTTGGTTCTTGTCTTGGTTCTGGTTCTAGGTTCTAGGTTCTGGTCTTGGTACTGGTTCCTGGTTCTTGGTTCTGGTTCCTGGTCTTGTTCCTGGTTCTTGGTTCTGGTCTTGGTTCTGGTTCCTGGTTCTGGTTCCTGGTTCTTGGTTCTGGTCCTGGTTCTGGTTCCTGGTTCTTGGTTCTGGTTCTTGGTTCTGGTTCTAGGTTCTGGTCTTGGTTCTGGTTCTAGGTTCTGGTCTTTGTTCTGGTCTTGGTTCTGGTTCCTGGTTCTTGTTCCTGGTTCTTGGTTCTGGTTCCTGGTTCCTGGTCTTGGTTCTGGTCTTGGTTCTGGTTCCTGGTTCTTGGTTCTGGTTCCTGGTTCTTGTTCTGGTTCTTGGATCTGGTCTTGGTTCTGGTTTTAGGTTCTGGTCTTGGTTCTGGTTCTAGGTTCTGGTCTTTGTTCTGGTCTGGTTCTGGTTCTAGGTTATTGTCTTGGTTCTGGTTCCTGGTTCTTGTTCCTTGTTCTTGGTTCTTGTCTTGGTTCTGGTTCCTGGTTGGTTCTGGTTCTGGTTCTTGGTTCTTGTTCCTGGTTCTTGGTTCTGGTTCTGGTTCCTGGTTCTTGGCTCTGGTTCCTGGTTCTGGTCTTGGTTCTGGTTCCTGGTTCTTGGTTCTGGTCTTGGTTCTGGTTCTAGGTTCTGGTCTTGGTTCTGGTTCTAGGTTCTGGTCTTGGTTCTGGTTCCTGGTTCTGGTCCTGGTTCTTGTTCCTGGTTCTTGGTTCTGGTTCCTGGTTCTTGGTTCTGGTCTTGGTTCTGGTTCTAGGTTCTTGTTTCTGGTTCTGGTTCTTGGTTCTGGTCTTGGTTCTGGTTCTTGATGGTTATTCCTGTTTGTCTCTCTCAGGAGGCGGGACCTGTCGAGTGCTGGACCAATCAGCTTGCTCCGTCTAACGTTTTCTTCTTCTTCTGCAGTCTCGGCCCGGAGGTTTGCGCCGTGCTGCGTCTGTCCGGCCCGCTAAAGCAGCAGTTTGCTCAGGTGAGACCGCGCTGAGCGCTGCACCTCGTCACCATGGTAACTCCCACCTGACCTGTGCCGGGCCCTCAGGAGCGCGGCCTGGACCTGGACCTGCTGCTGGGTTCAGGACCGTACAAGGAGCGGTACCGGGCTGATATGATCCGCTGGGGGGAGGACCGCCGGAACCAGGACCCGGGCTTCTTCTGTCGTCTGGCAACCAGAGGAGCCCAGCAACCTGTGTGGGTGAGGGCTGTGATTGGTCAGGACAGCTCTCTGCCCTCTGATTGGTCAGGACAGCTCTCTGCCCTCTGATTGGTCAGGACAGCTCTCTGCCCTCTGATTGGTCAGGACAGCTCTCTGCCCTCTGATTGGTCAGGACAGCTCTCTGCCCTCTGATTGGTCAGGTGGTGAGCGATGCCAGGCGGGAGTCGGACCTGCAGTGGTTCCGCTCCGAGTTTCCCCGTCAGACCCGCAGCGTCAGAGTCCAGTGCTCGGATGAGACCCGGAGGCAGAGAGGCTGGAGCTTCACGCCAGGTACGCTGACCCACCTCTCTCTCTGTGTGTGTGTGCCGCGCTGCCGTCTACCTGCTCAGGTGTTCGGCCGTCCCTCAGGTGTGGACGATGCAGAGTCGGAGTGCGGGCTGGACCGCGGCATGGAGTTCGATTGGATCATCAGGAACGAGGCCGACGCCCCCGCCCTGGACCAGCAGCTGCAGCCCATCCTGAGGACGGCGCGGGAAGTGGCGGCGCTCCGACATCATCAATAAAGTTATTATTGATTAGCTTCAATTGTAATAATAGTTATTTAGAAAGAAATGATTTAACCTGATGACATCACAGATCGCTACTGAGCATGTGCAGAATGGGTAGGGTAACCCTAACCCTTTACCTGCGGGCAGTGCGACCTGCTGAAGCACCCGGCATCAGAGCTGCATTCTGATTGGCTGAGAGGGATCAGCAGGTGTTTCAGGAAGCTGAACGAAAAACTCGTGTGCCACCGGGGGGCGCTGGAGGCTAAGTCTGTGGAGGAGAGCCTTGTAGGGTTCAGCAGGAAGAACTGAAGGTTCTGATTGGATCAGAACCGGACTGTCTGCTTCATACCATCAGCAGGAACGACGAAGAATGAAAATATTTTAATTTGAATAAATGAAGTCATGATTTTTCTGGATCCTTTTAGAAATAAACCGTTTAAAATTTAAATATTTCTTCTTGGAGTTTTCATTCTGGCCAGTGGGGGGCGCTGCTGAACGATCGGAACTCAGCAGCGCCCCCGGTTTAAGTTTGCTTTCTGCCTCAGGACCTCATTACACATTATGCAATGTGTGGGTTTCCATGGTTACAAAGGTGATCAGGTTGGATGGTTCTGAAGACGGGGACCGGTTCTGGAGGTCCGGGCCGGTCTAACCAGTCCACGTAATAACTGAACCAGTTATTAATATTGAAACTCGTGAAACGTGTCAGTTGTGTACGTCGTTCCAGATGTCTGTTCATCACCTTATTTGCCTCTAGGAAGGTTTATTCTATGTTCTGTGCTTTCTATGTACTGCTTAATGTGTAAATTAATCTGAACTTTTCCAATAATTGGCAGGTGGTCAGCGATCAATGAGCCAGTCCATCAGTTTTACATGCGGTGCTTTATTTTATAAAATCTTTGCTTTGGGTCATTAGAACAAACTGTGACATCATCATACTGATGACATCACCAGGTAAAAACACTTTCGTCTGAGCTCTGATTGCCCTTAGTCACCCTATTTGGCAGTGGAATGTCTTTCCATGATTGGCTGATCACACACTGAAGCCACGCCCCTCCAACGTTATTGGCTGAAATCATATTTGGCCCTAATTATCAAATCAATTATCAAAGGAAACGGAACATTCAGAGAAAACACTGAATTAGTCGTAAACGCGGGGGAGCGGTTAGTGACGGGAATGGGGTCAAAGGTGAGACGGAATGTGTGACATCAGGATATATCCAGACAGGAGGCCACACCCCCGGCCCACCTCCACCTGTCCCCTGCGAGGACAAGGAGGAGCTTCCTGTCAGGTGACACGGTGGGAGGGGCTTCAGCAGGAGTTGAGCTCCTCCATGGTCTGGTTCAGGGTCGCCTGGAGCTCCATGTTGGCGTTTCTAGCTGAGGTCAGAGCGTCTGGAACAGCAAGAGGCGGGCAGTTATTGATTACTCAATTCATAATTACTGGTACTTACCAATTATGAATTAATGATTAACAATCAATTAACAATTAAGGATCAATTGACAATTAATAAGTACGGACTAATTTAAGATAAATAAATTATTACACTTCATTAACTATTACTTACAAATCCAATTAATTACAATTAGTTACTTGATTTGATTGATTGTTGATTAGTGATTACCACCAAAACACTCAAACCAGTTTTACCTTCCAGGCCATCAATAGTTTTCTCCAGTTTGGCCACCGAACGCTCGGCATACTCAGCTCTGGTCTCCGCCTGGAACACAGGAAGTGCTGAGGAGGCTAACTGACTAAGCTAACATAACTGCTGAAATGTGGCTCACCTCTTTCAGCTTGTCGCTGAGATTCTTGATCTCTTCCTCATAGCGGTCCTCCTTGTTGGAATACTGCGAGACAGAGACAACATTTAAATCAGAGCTCACCTGTTCAGGTGTCGGAGCTCAGGTGAGTCAGCGCCTCAGTTTAAACTCTCCTTCCAGCAACTCTATTCGTCATTAATGTTCGCTGGAGACTGAAACGTCTGACTGGCCACTACTCTGAACACGCCTCCACCTCCTCCAGGTGAGGTTATCGATGAACTGATCAGTGATCAGGCTCCTCCCCCTCCTACCTTCTCTGCCTGCGCCTCCAGAGACTTGGCGCTGGTGAACACGGTTTTCAGCTCCTCCTCCACCAGCCGACACTTACTGCAGAGAACACATGGTGTCAAACAGGTGTGGGCGGGGCCTCCCGGAAGGCGTGGGTGTGTGTGTGTTAGAGCGCGCAGTGGGTGGAGGAGGGGCTGAAGCGCAGGTAAAGGTCAGAGGTCATGGAGGCAACAGGAGGCGAGGAGGAGGAGCTTCACCGCTCTGATCGACAGGTGAGAGGTCACATGACCTGCAGTACCTTGTCTTCAGACGCCTGCAGACTCTTCAGTGATTGGTCGAAACCCCTCAGCTGCTCCTCTAGCCTCCAAACCTTACTGAGAGATGGGCCAGAGAGAAAGAGAGATGGGCGAGCGAGAGACAGGTAATGTGGTGAGACAGGTGAGGACAAATGGACAGACGGTTGCCAGAGCAAAGAGGAGAAGTCAGACAGACAGGTGGGGATGCAGCAACACATGCAGTGGTTTCCATGGAAACAAACAGGTAAAAATACATGCAAGATGTTAGTCTGAGTGACATCATCATCATCGTCAGAGTGACATCAAAGATTAAGGGCGGAGCTTCATGTAGCAGTCCAAACCATCAGAACTAACAGAACCAGCTGAGCTGCTCTGATTGGCTGCTTTCAGCTCAGGTTGACACGGCCTCTTCCTATTGGCTCAATCTGCTGCATCACACTGAGGTCAAAGATCAGATCTACTCAGCACAGCATTTCATTTGGACCCTGGTGTGGTTCTGAGTCATTGGTCTGGACTGACTCAATGGTTCTGCTTGTGAGTGGGTTCACCTGTCCGCCTGCTCGGCCCGGTCCTCGGCCCGCTCCAGTTCTCCCTCCACCATCACCAGCTTGCGAGCGACCTATGGTTAGAGTAAATAAATAAATCCTGTTAAAACATCAGCAGTAAATATACGCTCAGAGGAGTTAAAGGATGTAAAAGCTGCATTTCGACAGGATTGCTGGTAAACATTAATATCATGTCATGTGAAATGATGATAGCATTAGCCTAAGTATCACCACACCCAGCCACTTTTACACTTGGGATGGAGACAGGAAGTGACATCAAAGCAGCATTACTTGAACTATAAATCTGAAGTGTAAATATCTCACTCAGTGATTTGACAGTAATCCTAACCTTAGAGATGGGCGAGTTTACCTGGTAATGCCAGTCACCATTATTCTCCATATAAACAGAACTTTTACCAGTTTATAACCACAAGTTACTTTAAATACACTTAATAATAGCAAAAGGTAGCCAATTTAATTTACTTCTCTGACTAGCACCAATGCTATGACACTGGTGCTAGTCAATGTCACAGCATTGACTAGCCGATCAAAAGACTCTAAATTCTAAAGAGCCGAGGTGTGAATGACAACACTGGAGTGAACAAAGTGTTAACAAGGAAGAGTAAAATTTAATATCAAAACTATTGTGGATCCATATATACAATTATATCAAAATAGCGCGCGTTTTTGTTTGAAATAGAAAATAAATAACAGTCCTTTCGAGGTGTCAGTGGATTTAGTGTTTTGTCCAGTCTGTTCCACTGTGTTAGTTGATCCTCTCAATATTTCCAAAGATAGTGACCAGTCGGGTCACTATCTAAAATCTCACTGGGTTCTTGGGGCTGGGGCTCGCCATCCAAATCCAGAAGTGGGTCTTGAATCTCAGGGCTCTCCAATCCAAAGGTGCACCGTAATTAAAAAAAAAAAAAAAACCTGACCTGGAACAAGGCCAAAGCAAAACATCTCAAGACTACAATGTTATTTACACATGAGTAAAACTAAAGAAATTATCTTAATATGTGGTGATGAAAAATAATATAATAAAATAATGATAATATATATTTCAATCTAAAAGTGCCGGTACAGCTTCAACGCACCAAAAAAAAAAGCACTTAACTGAAATAGAACCGTTGGACTATTAGGACATATACTCAAAGAAAAATAAATGCAACTACACAGAAAAAATAAAATATAGACAACAATAATAATAAAAATGTTACTGTGCTACTTTAATTTTATAAAATTTGGTCAAATATTACGTGGTTTTGTCAATTTTCATCCAAATTACTGTGCCAACTGCCGAGCGCGTGCAGTCACTCCAACGCTCCGACGGTGTTTGACTCTGCCGGGGATTTTTTCTTTCAGTCTCCGCTGCGCTCAAAGAACTTTCAGAGCTAAAAAAAAAACGAATTTACTAATTTCAATTGTATAATTTGAGAAACTATTCCAATTTTGTTTTTCTTACCGGTTCTCCAGATTTTATCATCTCTCTCAAGCTCTTTATGAAAACAACGATCAGCTGTTAGCTCTCAACTGTTAGCTCTGACGCATTCTGAGTGGAATGACTGCGCAGTAGTGAAAGGGGCGGGACAATCAACCCCATTGGCTGATGTAATGTCAGACCACGCCAGCTATTGGTTGCCCAGTTCATCAACAAAACAACCATTAAAGGCCTATTTCACAGTTTTTAACGATGTTTTTAGCACATTTGGATATATCTTTCTAAATAAAATAAAACACAAAATCTATTTATACTTTCCAATCTGGTGAAACAAACAACAACAAAAAAATATCAAATTAACATCAATTTCCACTTGTGTTTTTAAACTGGGTTACAAGTTGCTAATGTAAGACCAATTCCTAATTTACTCAAAGATGTTCAATGATAAAAGATGCTATTTTATTGTGAATTTGTTTTATATCAAGTATCAACCATGAGTGACACTGCACATAATGCTAAGTTCAGATTTTTATGCATTTCAGTAATTCCACCAGGGGGCGGTAGAGGGCTCTCAAGAAAGTTGGAGGGAAGATGAGGAAAAAAAAAAAAAAGGAAATTGCTTATCCATCTTTTTAAACATCATCAGGGATTATAAAGGAATCCAGAGCTGAATTTACTACTCTGTACCAGCTTTTTTACTACCAACACAAAATCGAGACGGTTTCCCCCATTTTGGGTGATCTATGATCGATATCTACGTGAAGCCGATCTCGTCCTCTGATCTTTTCTACTTGAGCGAAGGTCTATAAATCAGTCTCTTCTGCTCTGCAGTGAGAGGTTTGGCTGATGGACCGGCCCAAACGGTCCGGTCTGCAAGCTTGTAGACCCCACTGTTACCAACTCAGATTTTATTCTTATATTTAACGATGTTTCAATCAAAAATGCCACCAGCTAAAATCAAAATGGGCAGGTCAAACTTTTTACAGACTGATCATCTACAATCTGAGAGAAGCTGCAGTCGCTTCACTGACCCATGGAAGATAACGGCTCCTGGAAAACTTTATCCCACTGACTTGAAGGTCTGACTGACTTTAACTGGACCAAAACCTCTCGT